GTGTAGGCACCAATACTCGGAATAGTATGTCTCATAGATTCTCGTGACCACAGTGACTCCTGAGTCAGCACCAGTATAGATCGCGCACTCAAGCATGTGCCATAATGGACCCCCGCCAAAGCCCGTTCAAGCTACGTCTCACGCTTTCTGTACATTGTTTGGCGCACGAGGCCCACAAATGCGAAGGAGCGGGCAAAAAAAAGTTACTCCCACATTGCTAAATCCGTCGAACATCGGTTACATGAGCTTGGCGGGTCTTGACCCTCCACAGATACCAGATTGCGTGGCTTAGTGGGTCGTATATTCTGCAATCTCATCTTTCTGTGAAGATACATACACCATGAGCCATGTAAGGCAGGGTTTGTAACATACTCTAACCACCTTTCATGCATCGTATCTGGCCCACCCCCTCAAGGAGCGTGCCACTAAGCTGCAGTACATTCAGCCGACTTGCCTTGAGCAGCTTAGCCTGACTGTAAACAAACCAAGTGATCCACTAAGTCGAAGCATAACTTTTGGAGTTCACAAGTACGCGCTCAGCTTATACGGCATCCCGAGTCTCCACAGAGTACCTCAAAGGGACTCCATAAGCGATGAAGTGCGAGACAGATCCGCAGGCTGTGAGCACTAGGTGCTGGGTTCGAAAGATTGCATGTCTTTGAGTTGAACAGCCACCAACATAGGCACTAGACGCTGAGGCGGATCGCAGGCTACGTGGTCTGGACCGACACAAACTTGATTGTGTGCCGTGCGGGAGCTGTGTTTTTCAGGCAGGCAACGTTGCATGTTCTTCATTCAGAATGACAGTCCAATGACAAAGATGGTAGGCCATATGGGGATACAGCGCAATCGCCGTCTGTCATTGGGTGCTGTCTGACCCAAAGTCAAGTCCGCGAAGATAGTTGTTTGAGTCCAGTGAGCTGGAAGATGTTTCCGTTGTGCTTAAATAGACGAAAGATCATCACTTCTTCTTCCTCATCCTTCAGTGCACTTCGTTCTGCACATCTTCTACATCCCTCCACTTCACGTCCTTGGACATTTTTGCGTCCAGTCTCATCACTAAGATGACGACTCTCACGAGCATGGCGACCAAGCTTCCAGATGCCTTCCAGGGCTTCATGGCTGAGATGAATCCAGTTGATGTTGGTCCTTCTATCGTGGTTAGCGCGGTCGTCGGACTGCTCATGGTCCTTGGTCTTATCACTTTCAAATCCGTCTCTTCTCGCGATGTCCTGCCAGGAGTTCCCGAGTTCAAAGGTGTTCCATTCTTGGGCGCCATGCCGACATATTTGAGAGAAGGCATGCCCGCTCTACTCGGTAAACTCATCGCCACGGGTGACGAGGGTATCTCATATGCCAACATCGTGGGCAATGTCCTTGTCTCTTGTCACGATCCGGCAATGGTTCGAGAGGTTCATGCAATGCCTGATGAGGTAGCGTCCCGCGAGGGTGACCCAGGTCGCATGAATTGGTCTCCATTTTGGACACTTCGCCGGTTGATTGGCAATTCTCTTTTCAACCAGGTTGGCCCTCAGATCACTCACCCGCGCAATGTCTTTATCCGAGAGTTCAACAACACAAAGGCGAATGAGGCCAAGTTCGGTACCATTCAGAAGATTGCCAAAGCGCATGCGAATGCCTTGACAGGTACCAATAAATCTGCTGACGTAGACGATATCCGGTACTCTGCCGACAACTTTGCTATTGCGCTTTGGGGCGAGACTCTTTACGGCAACCCTGATCATCACAAGGGCGGCAAGGTGTTGGCTTTGTCTGAGAAGATCATCACGCTGGCTGGCGAGCCTTGGCCTTCTGTTTGGTACTCCATCGCACTGTTTCTGCGCCTGGTCAAGCCTGGTGAACCAACGCGCTCGGAGGCTAAGCTTCGAAAGGGTGTGTCAAAGGTTGTCGAGGGGAACATCGCGAAACTTGAGGCGTTCGAGGCAGCCAACCCAGATGCACCTATGAAAGTTATCCGCAGTCTCTCTGTTGCAACTGGTGGTGGTAGGACCGGGCCTCTGTCCGAGTTCGCATCCGAGTTCACCAATCTCAATCTTTTCGGCGGTCACCACAGCATCGGCTTGAACGTCGTATGGACGCTGATTGAGCTTGACAAGCACCCTGAGCGGTGCGCGAGGCTCATGAATGAGATCAACTCCGTTAACACCGACGACTTTACCCAACTCAACTCCAAGATGCCCTACCTTGATGCTTGCATCATGGAGATTAACAGACTGCATCCCACTGTCCACGCCACGCTCCGCGTCATCAACAAGGAGACCACTTTGACCTCCGGCAAGAAACCTGTGAAGCTCGCGCCTGGCATGCTGATCTATCTCTCGTACCTGCATCTGCACACTGCGAAGGAGTTTTGGGGCGAGGATGCTGACATTTTCGTGCCTGAACGATTCCTTGGCGGACGGAGCAAAGACCAACCTTTCATGTCCTTTGGATATGGGCCACGTAACTGCGTAAGTTTCACTCTTGTCGCCGTTGCGAGTAAAACCGTGCTAACAGTGTTAGGTTGGGTATAAGTTTGCGACGATCGCAGCGAAGGTGTATCTGGTCACACTTCTCAAGACGTACCAGCTGGATGTCAGGGACCACGGTACGACTCTAGTCTCTCCTACTTTTAGATGAAGTTATACTGACGAATGCCAGATCACGAGATGAAGCTCGGAACTCTGCTTGAAACAACGAAGCCAGTCGCTGTTAAAGTCACGCGTCGTTTCTAGATTGCTTAGTGTTGACATTCGATGCCGGCCAATACGGCTTAAGCAGGACGCGTGACTCTATTCCTCTGTTTGCAATAGCGTATCGTAGCCTTGTGAGGTCTGGGTTCATCGAGTTGGTAGCAATGGAATCCATGATTCGGCCGCATTTCTGACCATAATCGGGTAAGGCCCACGCCTGATTAATGACTCGCTCCAGATCTGTGATCTGTCTTTGATTTGTCTCGTAGTCTATGACTCGTTCTCGTATGTTGTTGTTCGTGTTCTTACTCAGAAGTCGTTGAATTGATGCGAGACCGCCGACTTGTATGTCGAAATATTGCAGCAATGCCAAGACCAAGTGAAGGATTAGCTATATCGTCAAATTTGCCTTAACAAACTTGTGATATAAAGCTAATATGGCACTTCAAGTATACAGGGAAGCTCTGTCCTTGGTACATCATGTTGACGTCACGATCGCCATTTTAGAACACACGATCACACCAGTATTTAGTGTGCGAACGTTATGAAACATCAAGTCTTGCACGTAAAATTACTATCAGGAATTGCAGATGTTTAAAAACTATAACGACAATCATGGAAGCACATGCACAGCGTCTCTTTGGACGTTTTCCTGCCAACGAACATACCCATGTACTGCTAAGAGTCAACCACACACGATCAATATGCTAGCCTTTGAGGACTAGTTCCTGTGGTAGAAACCATTTTGTCCTTCTTCCTGGCTTCTTTGCTTCATGAGATCTTGCTGAAGAACACCCTGCATGTTGGAGAAAAGAGAACAGACATCACCGTGTGATTAAATACAAAGCTCTATCATTATTGTCTTGTTGTCAAATTATGAGCTGAAGTTCCTTGTGCAGAGTCAAGAAAGGAGAGCAGACACCACTGCTGTACCATATGCAGAAACGCGTCACTTACATCTTGTGAGTGTATCATGCACCGAAGCATACCGCGCATATTCAGGAAAGGATAACCTTCAGTACTACAGTACTATCTACAAAGCTCTTTTATCATTCATTTTGTCAGTGAATAGCACATCGAAGCATATCACACATATTCGAAATGTAGACCAGGAACTCCGACATTACTACTTGCAAAGTTGTATCATTTCTATTTCGGTTGTAAGAAATAGACTAACGTACACCGGGAATGCTTGCAACAATAAGATAGTAGACCGAAACAGTACTGCATACCACACTCTATTGTTTCTACTTTGCTAGTAGTGGATACATTGAGGCACGCCGCGCATATTTCATAAGGTGAGCGTCAAATAGGACTCCGTGATACGCATGGCACGATAAGGAGTATGGGATAAAGAGCTAGAAAGTGCGTGGTCCAACCACTCAATTCCCCGTCGGAGAGATCATATTGTCCTTCTTTTTTGCTTGCGGCGAGTATGCTTCAGTCCATTTGCGATTCAAATTCATTATATAATATGATAAAACTTCTTGTCGAAGAGGTTCTTCGCCATTGCTGTTTTCTGCTTACAAAAATCCCTCGCTCGGGAGTTTGTCTGGCGCTAATCTTTTGCTTCTGACATGGGTGACGCGGTTAGATCATGAGGTGGGAGTGCGCGAAGGGGCACCAGCGTTACCGAAGAAAACCGACAGATCATAGGACTAACTCTTTTACTATCTGTTGATCAAGGTACTTTGACTTGAAAAACATTTGTGCTGATACATGATGCTATTTGATGGCTGGTGTTTGAATCGGCGCGCAGGTACTCCGCGACGGTGAATTTTTTTGCCTGTGAAGCAACAAACCAAATACTAGCTGACCGCAACCTTCGCTCTCCGCTGTGTGATGGAGATGTAATATAATTCAAGGTGTTAGGTTCCTAAGTTGCTCATTGCGGTGATGCACACTCTGTAAACACTAGTGTTCGCATAATTTAGGCACTGTAACTCGTATTGCGTTGAGGTCAGGCTTGTATGGAGTATCTACATGTTATGTACCTTTGTAAGTTGAATGGAGTTTGCTATCAAACTCTGTTCTATGTTTTGCGACAAAGAAGAAAAATCACTAATAAAGTGCCTCCGTGCAAAGTCCAACACCACGCCCACGTCCACAGCAACAACCACCCAACAGCACCTATGTCTCTCAGATAGATATCTTTGGCTTTACAATCGCATAAAAACAAGCCCGTCGACGTTAATGTTCCGTCACTGGGCTAGTGCTGTGTTTTGTGTTCCCAGGCCTCGTACACTCCCAACGACCACCCACCACCACCACTACACCTCCACAAGCAAAAAAGAAGGCTGATAGGAACTCTCCGACGGGGAATCGAACCCCGGTCTCCCGCGCTTGTTAACCAGAAGGCTTGACAAGCGGAAATCATGACCACTAGACCATCGAAGATGAGGCGCTTATATAAGCGGATGGTGTTTCTTTGATGAAAGAATGAGCAATTATTGCACCCATATAGCTTTTTGTCACCCACAATCTTCAAGGAAAACGAGTCGCAAAGCGGGATAACGGGAGGGGCAGCAAAGGCCAAGTGGGGGGCAAATGAGTGGGCGGTGCTGGCCGGCACTTGGCCGGACCGGGTAAATGGCCAAAGAGGGGTTGGGTGGGGACTACGCTGACATTGGAATGGATCGTTGACACTTGTGCTACTCTGGATGATCGCGATGAAGTTGTTGTGGGAGATACATGGCACTGGATATACTCCATATGAGATATAAGGGGGAAGCTTCACTGCACTACATGCCTCACGCATCCGTGATTCTTTGCAAGCTATATTATCATCGCAGGCAAAGTTTGTGAGCATGCTTCTTCTGATTGGTTGGTTTCGCAGCTGTGGTCTGCGATCATATACGGGGAACACAACATGGCATCAAGCTTGTACGTCCTGAGTCCGAATAATTTTCTTGAACCAGAGAATATTACTTCATGTATTACTGTATACCAAATACCTTCAATACGTCCTCCCGATCTTCACCTGCTACCACCTTTTCCCTCCACACCCCATCCTCCACGCGCTGCGCTTCCTCCAGCAAGCTGAAATTCGGACTCGCCTCAACCTTCAGCCACTTGAAGTCATCGATTTGATTCCAGTGATTCGCGACTTCTGACATGGCTGCCGTAGCAAGGGCTTGCGGCATTGGCGCAAACCGCACCCTTTCGCAATCTTCGATGATTGGACGGCTCGCGGAGTGGAGATACACGTCCACCTTCTTCGACCCATGCATGCGAAACTGACGACATGAAAGCACGAGCACGCTATTCTCGACGTCCGTAATGAGTACCGCGCCTGCGGTTTGGCCACAAATTATTACCGAGTTCTGGATGTGCTTCAGGTAGAGCGCTGAGAACGGCGCGCTGGTAGTAGGAGCTGAGAGATCGACAACACAGTTTCGCAGATTCGATACTGTACCGGAGCTGGTCGCATGTGCTGCTGACGCAGGTAATTTGACATGGAGATGCGCGTGATTTGTTATGATGGTTTTCGTGGCACTAGAAAACGATGGTCTCCGCACACCAGGACCATCTTGTATGCCATCTGACACAATCTCCTCTTCCTGAGCCTTTACTGGCACGGCTGACACAGTTGATGCATTGTCAGTCGACGTGCTAGAGTTGGTCGGCTTCATCGCTCGACTCGGCTCCTCTGAGCTCGGAGCCGGAGCAACAGGAGCATTCCTGCGCGACTTGAATGCAAACTTCTTTGGTGGATTGAAAGAGTTGCGTGTATTTTGGAGCTTCTCGGACAGTGCTTTGATGGTCTGAAAATCTTAGTAAAAAGTCGTTCAACCGCAGATAAATGATATACCTGACTGTATGATCGCTGGTCGTATGCCGGGATATACGCCGATGCGTCCTTGACTTCATGAGACAATCGATTTATGCCTGCCAAGCAATCGTCTATTGCCCCAGTACGTTCACTGCCAGCCGAGATGGTATTCAGTTTATCGATTTTTTCTTGCAGCTCTATTTCGGTCAGCTTAGTTTACAGTTATATCTATACCAATCTTACCAGTTACTTGGACTTGGAAGTCGCGGTAGAAGCGCTCTTTAAGCCCCAGCTCACTAGGCGCTGTAGGGCTTGCCATTATGCGCAACGAGCGAGCTTTCTCGGAGATGAAGCTATCGATTCTAAGCGTATTGGACTTGACGAAATTACTGGGCCGCGCAAAGCTCAAATTTCGTCGAGTATCACTTGGTCGAGAAGCGCTAGCGTGTTGGTGGGGCTAGGAGACAGGCAGGAGAGGGAAGCGCGCTGGTGGCCATCGTGCCTGATTTTGCGGCAGCACTACAGAATCACTATACTCAACTTGAGAGTCGAAAGAAGGCACATGCAGTCGACAGGTACACATTCTATGCAGCGGGAAAATGATGGTCTCTGCGAACGCTACCCCGCAGTACCTCACATATGCAATATCGCGCCTGTGTAATGCACAAGTTAATAACACCAGGACTTTGCGACGACCATGATGCCACCAGCTTCTAAACCTCGCTTATGATGCTCTACTCATCTCTAGACGTGATTGAGAGCTGCAAAATATGACTTCACATCAACTCATACACTACGAGTGTTCATACTGGGAGGAGCAGGTTGAAGAGACCGAGGCCATTTGGGGATATATATTTACAGAGGCTTAGGTTGGTGCACGCATCAGTGCAAGGCGCCGGGCTTTCAAATAGCAAAGGAAATCTTGGGCGTGTCTAGCTCGCCTCTTGCGCAGCCTTGACATCAATACCATACTTGTCCATCAAGCGCTGGCGTCTCCTCTCCTCGTAACCAGGGGCATAGATTCCTGATATTGTTAGCTTCGATCCCTCAATTCAAGGATATATATGCTCACCTCGGCCTTCTCCCAATTGCTCAATGGTCTCTGAAAGTGGCCGCCTGCGAAGCTTCTTTGCGGCCTCTCGTCGCTCGACCTCCTCATCATCCAATTCTCCTTCTCCATATCCCCGTAGACCATTGGTGTATCGAAATGCGGTCATGACCGTGGCAGTGGCAGCTCCAGCTCCGACCATGAAGGGGAGGCTTCGCCCTGTTGACCATTAGCAACAACTGGACAAGAATTGCAATCTACGCACTGTAAATGCCCATGCCGCATCCTCCCAAAAACCCAGCGAGGAACTCGTTGTAGCAGTCGTCCTTCTGGCGCAAGTTGGCGGCCGCGTCCTTTGAGAATTGGTATGTCGCTCCGACACCAGCTATGCCATCAATTAGCTATGCTCCCTGCAACACTGCGATGTTCTTTGCCACGCACCGAACAGAGCAATTATGCCGCCGGACCGCGTGATGATGCCCATGGCGCCGACATTCTGCTTGCGGAGGGTGTTCTGGACACCGGCAATGACCGCACCGACGGCCGTCGTCTGGATCGTCGTACTCGCAGTGTTGGCGAGCGCATCCACTGGGTGGTAGGAGGGTGTCTGGTCGGCCATGGCGGGCGCAATTGGCGTATATGGTCTTCAGCAAGCTCTCAGATGTTGACGATGGGCAATGAGGTTGTCTCCGCCTTGGCGCAAAAACACGCTATTCCCCAAAGGTGCGTCGTGCATCATCGGCCGCAACCTCCTGCAGGTGCTCGTCTGTGTCGACGCAAGAAGACGACAAGCTTTACTACATACACTTGGACGCTGTGTGTGCCGACTATGCGAGTCGGCTGCCACACACCATCGCTGCCGTCGACAAGCAGCCTGCCTAGGCAAGCCCGTGACCGACCGTGATTCGCGCATGGCAGGAGCTCTTCGTCACTGGTTGCCGCCTACAATGCCCTCTTAGACACTTGCCGTCGCAGTCTGCCCATTTGACTTCCACCTCGCCCCCGTGTCTGAACCGCACATAACTCGATAGTCTGCACCGCTGCACAGCTCCAGACACGTCCATATCACTCGAGTCCGCTGGTTGCGTGCATAGCGGCCATGGCTCCTGGTACACTTCTCCCCAGCTTGGTCGACGGACTCCGCTAACCACGGCGCTGCACAGGCAAGACAGCGCCGCGGCTGCTCCAAGACCTCCTCACATATGATCCCCGCTACGAAGAGCGAGCTGGCCGGAACCTCCTCACCTCGGCGCCGCCGCATCACGACCCAAGTAGACCCCCCGCTGCCGCTGTACCCCACCGAAACTGCAGACACACCCTCGTCACCAAAGATGAGCAGTCCCTGCTGCCCTCGCCGCAAGAGGAGCCCTCACAGTCCACCGTATACAAAGTCGCCTCGTACTGTTCGCAGTGTCGGTGGCACATTGATGTCGTGGTAGACTTCCGAAATGATAGCCCAAATGGTAGAACCTGTAGAAAGGGCGATACCGAGTACTTCTTGCACCATTTTGTCTACGAGGAAGGATCCGAGGCAAATGGAACTTTCGGACTTGGGAACCAGCTTCTTCCCCGATCGTACACCTTCTGCTGCTCAGCGCCGCAGTGTCCAGTCAAGGCGCTCATCTACATGAAGCCACCCCGCCTTTCGGATCAAGATATTGAGACCTTGACGAACCAGGCACAGTTGCGGCGGAGATGGGAAGCTGCGAAACAGATAGGAGGCGAGCGCGCTGACAACACAATGGCCCGCCGAGTGGACGGCCCCGACTTCCTCAACACCTATCTCCAAGACTCCCTCAATCCGGTCCAGGGCAAGGCTCGCATCCCACTGCTGAACAAAAAGTTCCTCAAGACGTTTGGTAGGGACTGCGACTCCATATTGACCCGTCTCGGGTTCACCTCCGAGAAAGAAGAGAACGATGGCGAAGTCAGCGAAGTATGGAACCTCCCACGGCCTGGGGCAGCAAACGATGTCCTTGAATCGACGTTGCGCAACACAATCGAGGACACCCGCTACGAGCTGAACACCATCATTCTTGGCATCCCGGAGAACGAGCGACTTGGAGCACGGCACAAGGCCATGTACCCCAGCCCGTCACGCATGCACATTGAGAGGGCCCTTGCCTGCCACGACTGTAGGTGCCCATCATCAGCGGCATAGCTTAGGCTGACACACCCACAGATGACAAAGTCAAGGGCCGCATGGAGACAAGAAACACCAATCACGAGGAAGATCACCCGTAAGTCGTTCGTTACATCTGTCGCACTCAGCTAATCAGGCAGCAGCTATTACGCCAGCCTTGGTGCGGTTGGAGACTTTTCTGACCCGTTGATACTGTATGCGTTTGCTCGACAAACTGCGGTCGATGTGGAAAACCGCTCCTATTATTTCGAGTGTCTCCAAGACCTCGCCAACGGCCGCAAAAGCGAAGAGCTGCAGATGCAGGTTGCAGTGCTCGGCTCCCAAGGCTTTAACAGCCGACGCGAAGTTGAAGCAGCATATCGATATTTCAACATCCAGCCAGCTCATGCTGTCCACCTCAACGATGATCACATTATTGGCAGTTTCAAGTCACG